GCTCCCTGGGATGGGGGCAGGGGGTTTTCTGGAATCAAGGTATGTTGCACAGTACCCCACCTCCTCTACGGTTCTGCTTCCTGCCCTTTTGACCTCCTAGAAGGGTGTGATCCAAGGGCCCCTTCCAAAGCCCTTCTGACCCAAAGGCTGGCACTAGACACTTCACTCCAGGAGAGACCGCAGTGGGGAAGGAGGCTAGAGGTCTGGGGTTTTCATTTCTCTCAGCGGCATCTCGCTATATCCCCCAGGGGGCCTCCTAAATGTGGAGGGGGGGGTCCCTACAGCATGTGGGTAAAGCACCCACCATGTGATACAGGGTGTTACAGAGGCCACCCATTAGGTTCTTGTGACTTCGGTTAAGTCACAGGCTGGTGCCCTGAGTTTGCCCTTGAGTTTTGCTCTTGTGGGGTGAGTTTTGCCCCTGTGGGGTGGAACTCACCCTCCCTTACCCTCCCTGGCCTTTGCCCACTGTGTAGCGTGGCTCAAGAGCCTTTGGGATGGCTCAGCTACTGCGCTGACTTAGGGCACTTGGTATGGGCTCCACAGTGGTCACAGAGCTGTATGACCTGCAGAAGCCAGCCTGGGCCCCTCACGGTCCCCTATAACCGAACCACAGGCCCCTGGACTCCATATCCCTCTCCTGCTGATTCTGGTTCCTGGGTCCTCTGAAGGTCAACTGCTTGATTTTATGAGAGTGAAAATGAGGCTTGGGTGGAAAAGATGAGGTGAAACCACACAGAAAGCTCATGGTATGTCTAAGACTTCAACTCTGTGAGTCTTGAAAATGGATTTGGACATGACCTTGGGCTGAATGTTGGACCTGAATCTCCATGCTGGACCCAGACCATTGCCCTGAATCTGTTCTCAGACACTGAGACTTGGACATGGGTTTGTCCTGGATGTCGAACCTGGACTGTAACCTTGGCCATTGACCTTGGACCTAGACCTTGAGCCTGATGTTGGACATAGACATTGGACCTGGACGTCACATCTGTGCCTGCACTAGACAGAATCTCCGACCCAGACCTAGCTTTTGAACTTGGCCTTCTGACATGTTTTTAACCTGGATCTTGGACTTGAGCCAAGACCAAATTACCAGGGAAGTGGTGGTTATAGAAGACTTGGGCCTCCTGTGTGTCCTTGGGCACCTCCCCAGCCTTCTCTGGGCTCCCTCTGCCAAGAGATTGGACAGCTTTTTTGAATTCCCTGATCCCCAAATGGATTTCGTGAGGAACAAGGTGTGTGTGCTGCAGCTGGGGACATACAGCTGGGCTCCTAGGCCTGGCCTGGGGCGACAATGCGGCGCCATCAGAGGGAGTGAGAGGAAGTGGATGCTGATACAGTGTGGTCAACTGTACTAGCCTATGGGTGGAAGTAGGAGAGCTTCCTCCGCCTGCCGGGGAGGCTTAATGTAGCTGCAGAGGGCAGACAACTGCGTTATTGGATTGGCATTGATCCCTCTTCTGCCTGGGTCGGATGCACTCTGAGTGGGGATGGGGGTAGGCCTGGGCGGGGTGCAGTGGATGGGGGACCCGCTCCCAGCTGGAGTTCAGAGTTCAAGCGTGAGGGGAGGTGGACGCTCCAGCAGCTGTCCTTGGCAGGGGTCCATGGAGACCACCGACGTGCAGATGGACGAGCAGCCGTTCTCTGGGGTGGCTGAGTCCCAGCATCTGCCAGGATGGGGGTGCTGGTCTGTGAGGGCGGGCTTCGTGCAGTTGGGGATGAGGTTCTGAGTGGGCTAGGAGACTGTGAGTTGGCCTCTCACAGGCTGAATCTGTGCTCAGAATTCCCCAGGGGACAAGAGAGAAGGCAGGCTGCACAGAGGCAGCGGACACTGAGAATCAAGGGGCAGGGTTGGGGGTGGGCGGGAGCATCTTATTGGAGGGATGGTGAAACCAGATCTTGTCTCCCTTCATGGGGAGCCCTGCAGACAGACCTGGAGCTTTCCCCACAGGCATGGGCTGGGGTGCAGGGGCGGGGGGGCTTGCCTTCCCTAGTTAGGGGTCCTGTGGTTTTGTGGGGAGCCTGGAGCACAGACACACCTGATGCACTCTCTGCCCTGCCTGGCTGTGGAAGCTGAAAGGGAGAGGAACAGGGAGGCAAAGGAGAGCAAGGCATGTGTGTGTGTGTGTGTGTGTGTGTGTGTGCGCGCGCGCCCGTGCGTGCGCGTGTATGTTTGTGTGCGCGTGCGTGTGGGTATGTGTGTGTGTTCCTACAGGAATTCTC